TTCATTTTATATAAACATCAACGTAGATATTTTAGAAAGAATGGTAAAACAAAAAAGAAGAAGAAGAAAAATAATGAGATTTAAACGAGAAACGGAAAAGGTGGAGGATGGTTAAAAAAGAAAAAAAATATATACAAAAATGGAAAAAAAAAATAAATAAATAAAACACACTAGAGAGATAAATAATAATTATCGAAAAGGAAATAATTAATCGTTAAAAAAGTAAACTGTGTATGTAAATAACGTGTAAATAAAACGAGGCGAAAAAAAAAAAGAGAAGAAAAAAGAATTAATATTAATAATAATAATAATAATAATAATAATAATACCACGTTAAGTCGAGATGCTATAAAAAAAAAAAAGAAGAAAAAAAAAAAACGAAAAAGTGGTTGGAACATTTTTTTACAATCGATCGAAATATATATCCAGGGATCATTTGCACGAAAAGAAAAAAAAAAAAAAAAAAAAAAACAAAAAAAAAAAAAAAAAAAAAGAAAACAAAAGAAACGAAACGAGATTACAAAAAAAATATTATTATCGAATATATATATATAAAAAAAATATCGTTCACGATTAAACACACGTTACATATAATAATATACGCATTAAAATATTACCACGGGGAAAAAAATCGTATCATTAATTAATTAATAATATTTATAAAAATTATGTTCTTTTAAATTGCGTACAAACATTTTTTTTTTTTCCCCATACACTCCCAACCCATCTCTCTCTCTCTCTTTCTCTTTCTCTCTCGTTCATTTGTCGAATATGACAGAGAGAGAAAAAAAATAATATACAACACACACACGTACGCATACACACACACACACACACACACACGTGTGATTATAATGAAATCTAACTCTGCGAAAAATAAAAATGAAAAAAAAATTCAACGTGTATAAATAAAATATAATTGTCACGGATTTTTACAGCGTGATCGATTGTGGTTGCCTTCGATTACAACAATTTTTTGATTATCGATCGCGATTGGCCGTGATCAAACCATTCTCGAAATATTTAGATAATGATAATAATAATAATAATAATAATATTACAATCGTAAATAGACGAATTCACACGAAAGGAAACGAATCCTTTTTCGAAGCTCGATTTACAACTCAGCATTAGAAGAAAATTAATAATAATAATAACAACAAATATATATATATATATTATTAATAATAATAATAATAGTAATAATAATAAAAGATAAATAAAAAAGAAAGAAAGAAGAAGAAAATAATAAAAAAAGCAGAACAACGTCGACTTTTTATTGAAATTCAAATGACGCAAGTTCCACTAACACGATCAAAACGCGGATGTGTTTTTGCAAAATATAAACAAAAACAAAAACAAAAACAAAAATGAAAAGAAAAATGAAATGAAACTAATTGTTCAATAATTGCATTATATACTCACGTAAAAAAATCATTTCCTTCCCATCTATCAGAATCATGTATGTGATCCTGTGTTATTATTATAATAATAATAATAATTATAATAATAAACAAATAAACTGAAACGCACGAAAAAAATTGTACAGAAAAACTCTAACGTTAGGAAATGTTTTATTAAGTTTTAAGAAATCATTATCGTTGTCATAATCCCCATCGTTATAGTTAACACAACAAATGTAAGATAAGATAATAATATCTCTCTCTCTCTCTCTCTATCTATCTATCTATCTATCTATCTCTCTCTATCTCATACAGAAGGACATAAAAAAAAATTGATTTTAAAGCGACACAAACGGACAATAAAACGAATAATGCAAGAAAGAAAAAAAAAAAAGTATTAGAAAGAAAAGACAAACACAAAGCTGGAGAAATAAAAAATAAGATTAAAATAAAATAATAAACAAACTTAAAACTAAACGCATTAAATATCATTAACAATAAAAACTAAACTCTAACCAAAGATAAAATGGAAATAATAAACGAATGCATCGGCAAACAAACGAAACAAAAAAAAAAAGCCGAGTATTTTTTCGATTGTATCAACACAAACGTGAATGAAAAATGAAAAATAAAATAATTGTATAATTAAATACAAATAATAAAAAAAAAAAAAAAGACAATTTTAATAAACAAATTGACATCCGTGTTCTGATTAGGCAAAAAAGATGGAAAAAAATGATTTCAATCGTCATTTTTACACGTCTTCGAAGTGAGTTTGCGTTAAAAAAATAAAAACAACAACAAGGAAAAGAAGAAGAAGAAGAAAAAAAAAGGGGGAGGGGGGGGGGGGGGGGGGAAAAGAAACCGTAAAGTAAACGTAGAATTTAATAAGAATTTTCCCACCCTTCCACACCCCTGTCCCCACCTAATTAATATTTAATAAATTAATAA